TATACCCTAGAGACTTTTAAAAAATCACACACACTTTGTAGTGTTTGGGATAGAACTGAGGGCCTACATGCATGCATGGAAGTACTCTACTGTTGAATTATATCCCTAAATATCATTTGAGTTTAAAACATGGGTTTTGGGCTGGCCAGATAATTCAGTGGATTAAAGCACCTGCAAGCAGGTGAAGGGCCTGGCAGTTTGATCCTCCTGCCTGCAGTGCCGGCCTCTCCTTTGGGGCAATCTTTGGGCATGGTGTAATCCCAGCTCTTGGAAGGCTGTAAACAGGTGAATCGCTATGAGTCCGATCTAGTAGTGAGATCCTGAACACCATGTAGACCCTTCTCCAAAATACAAAAAAAAAAGTGGCTTTTGTTAGATGAAATTTTATTTTGATGACCTACCCCTCACTCCCTAAAAAAAATTGACCTACCCCTCACTCCCTAAAAAAAATAAGTTTTCTTTTCCCAGAAATAAGGATTGAACCTTTTTGTTACGTTGAACCTGACAATTAGATTTTTTTAAAGTGTGGAGGAGTGCATGTGTATGTAAGGTAAGCACTTACCACTGAGCCATTTCCCCTCCCCCCTTTCTTTTGGTACTGGAGATTGAGTTTGGAACCTTGCACCTGCCAGGCAGGCGCTTACGCTGCTGAGCTATATGTCTGTCTCTCACTTTGTAGCCCAGGTTGGTGTCGAGCTCACAGCGATTGTCCTGCCTCAGCCTCCTGAGTGCTAGGATTACAGGCATTCACTGCCATGCCTGTTTTTTGAGAAAGGTTCACTGAATAGTTCAGGCTGGCCTTGCACTCACCATATATCCCTGACAGGCCTCGACTTTGAGGCGACCCTCTTGCCTTAGCCTCTCAAGTGCTGGGATTATGGGCATGCACTGAGATCCAGCTTGTATTCCTCTTCTACCCCAGTTTTTCTCCTTGTGTTCTGGGACTGTCTCATCTGCTGCTTTTTTAGGTACCCCATATTTCAGAGATAATGAGAGTATTGCTGACCTGACACAACAGAGCAGAGACAAAAAAAAAAAAAAAAAAAAAAAAAAAAAAAAAAGTCAGCCTCAGGGAGCAGTTGTGAATCAGGGTTCTGGGCCCTATCATGAATGAGCCTGGACTCCAAGTCACACTGCCCACTAAACTTTTGAGCGCTGGTGACAGCAGAACTCTTAATCTGGCCTTTATCTCTGTTCATGTACAGTTACTAAAAGAAGCCCAGAACTCTAGGCCACCATGCCTGGCAGATTCTATTTGCCATACAGCCCTTACCAACCCTGGATTAGTCACTTTCTCATCACTGGGACCAGTTAATAAAAGCCCCACACTCAGCTGAAAGGAGGCTCAGTTTCAGAGGATTCAGCGCTGGAGATACAGGCATGTGCCACCACATCTGGCTCTCTTTATATTTTTGAGACAGGGTTCTCAACACGTTCCCCAGGCTGGCTTTGAATTTATGCTCCTTCTGCGTCCTGAGTAATTGGGATTGGAATTATAGGTGTACGCCATCATGCCTAGTCAGATTTCTTTTTAACACAATTTAAAAAAAATTACTGTGTATACCCACATACATACATGTACACATGGCTCAAAGTATCTTGAAATTAGTCCTTTATTATTAGAGTATGCTAGCAGTTAGGCTTTTTATCTCTTAATTGGTATGTTTTGTTTTAAAATACAGACACATCAGGTGAGGCATGGTGGCACATGCTTCTGTCTGTAATCTCAGCACTTGGGGTAAAAGGAGGGAGGCTGAGGCAGGAGGATCCTGGTGAGTTTGAGACCAGCCTAGGTTACAAAGTGAGCTCAAGGCCAGGCTGAACTGCATAGAGACACCCTGTCTTAAAAAAGTACGACAACAAAAAAAGAAAGAAAGAAAAGAAAGGTCTTGCTGAACTGCCAGTCTCAGTGAAACTTAAAAACAAGATAGTGATGAGAAAAGAAAAAAAGATATTGATGGAAAACTTATAAAGGTTTATGGGAAATCCAATATATATTATGGGAAACGTACAGGGAAGGTTTAGTTTTGGTTTTGATTTTGGGTTTTTGAAGCTGGGGATGATGAGGTTTTGACAGTTGGGAATGTAGTTCAATAGTAATTTTCTTGGGCAGGATAAACAGATAGTATTTTTTGAAACAAAACCACAGGGCTGGCCATGGTGGTGTATGATTGTATTCCCAGCAGCCAGAAGGCAGAGGCAAGAAGATCTAGGAGGGATTCCTTTTGAAATTATGAACAGTATTGTGTTCAGGTCCATGAAGGAAGTCCCTGTCTTTTTAAATTTTTTTTAAAGTCTTTAAGTAGTGCTGAATATCAAACTGCCTTGAGTATGCCAGCTAAGAGTTCTGCCATTGAGCTGTGTCACCATCCCTAAGGTTGTATTTTGAGTTAGACCTGGCAGTGATATACATAAGCAGCATCTAATTCTAGTTCTCATTGTCTTCTTTTGAAATTGTTTTTTAACCATTTATTTATTTGTTTATTTGTTTGGTACGGGGTCTCACTATGCCTATGCAGCTTATACTCAGTGATTGTTCTGTTTCATCCTCCTCAGTATTGGAATTACATGTACCACAATGCCCGGTTTTGGTAGCCAGCTTAGCGTAGGGCCAGTACAGTGTGTGTTGCTGGGGATCAGACCTGGGTCCTTGTGCTTGCCCAGGCAGGCATTAGATTGCCATGCTATCTTCCTGGCCCCATAGTTTTTATTGTTTCTGAATTTTTTTTCTTTTTTGTTTCTTTTTTATCCTGTTATTAAGTTTATTGGTACAGTTTGGCTGTTGATCACATTCATCATAGGGAATTTGTACCTGTGCATGATATATCTTGATTTCTTTTTTCCTTTATTCCCCTCCTTGCCTGAAGGCTACTTTAATACAAGCTTAGAATGCTGTCAAGTTCTATGCTTGCATAAATAGCTTATGATTTCATATTTCTAGTGTGATTTATAGGCTTTCTAGTGTGTAATAAAGGCTTTCAGAAGTTAAGTGACACTCCCCTACTCCTGTACTTAGTATTGAACCCAAGTTACTCTTATTACTAAGCAACATCCCAAATCCTTCCTACTCTTTATTTTTAGGAAGAAGCTTTTTTATGTTTCCCAGGCTGGCTGTCAAGCTGTAGACCTCCTGCCTCAGCCATCCCATTAACTGGGATTACATGTATATGCCATTGTACCTACCAAAATTTATTAAAGTTTTTCCATTTATGTATTTGGTACAAGGTTTCACTATGCAGCTGACTCCTAGTGATCCTCCTGTTTTCAGTGTTCCCGTTGCTGGGATTACGGGCATCACTGGCTCAGGTTGCCCCCAAGGGGTGGGGGCTGGCGAGCCATGCAGGACCAGGGATCAAACCTTGGCCTGAGTGCTTGCCAAAGCAGACAGTCTGCTGAGCTATCTAGCTGGCCCCAAAATGGTAGTTTTTGAGGAGAAAATTCCAGCTAGATGGGCCAGGGGAATAGCTCAGTAGACTAAGCGCCTGCCTGTCAAGCACAGGGTCTTGAGTTCAATCCCTGGTACTACCAAAAAAAAAAAAAGCTAGATGCTAGGAAAGGCCCTGTCTCAGTTACTCTTTTCATTGCTGGGACAAATACCTGACTTGAAATTAGTGAAGGAAAAGTTTATTTAGCTTACAGTTAATGAAAGTTTCAGAAAAAGAAAAACATAAAGTTTCAGTCCTTACTCAGCTGGCTCCAACACAGACTGGCACCTGGCAGAGAGCAACCATAGTAGCAGTAAAAGAGCTAGCTAGCCTCTCTCCCCTCCTCACATTGTGATGCAAATACCTTTCCTGGGGCAAGTGCAGCAGCCACATGTACAATAATCAGTCACAAACTCCAGAAACTGATTGCATATAAAGCTTTGGGGGAACATCTATACTCAAACCCTAAGTCAAAAAAGTGATCCTCTTGTTAAAAAAGTCCCTTCATTAGAGGATCACTAGGAAATAATGATTTAGCCAGGTATGGTGGTAAACAACTATACTCCTAGCACTTGGGAGGCTGAGGCAGAAGGATTGCTGCAAGTTTGAGGGCAGCATGGGCTCCATAGTGAATTCAAGGCCAGCCTGAACTACATAGTAAGACCCTGTCTCAAAAAACCAAAAAAAAAACAAAAAAAAAAACACCTTTTTTTGTTTTTTGGTTTTGGAATTTGAAGGAGAGACTAAGCTCATTGGTTAGAACAATGGAAAGTTTATTTGTTTATTTTAATGCTTTTTTTATTTTGGCAAACCGGGGATTGAACTCAGGCCCTTCCACTTGCCAGGGAAGTGCTTATTCCACTGAGCCATCTCCTCAGCCCCAATCCCCTTGCTTCATCCTCCCCAGTTCTGTGATTACAGGTGTGCACCACCATGCCTAGTCTGGTTGGGCAGGAGGACATGTTGTACCAGGGATCGAACTTGGGTTTTTTTACTTCTGGCAGGTGCTTAGACTGCTGAGCTATCTCCCCGGCTTGGAAAGTTTATTTTTATAGAGGAGTGGGACTTTTTTTTACTTTTACTTTTAGTACTTGTCTTCTAGGGTTGCATATCACTTCATTTTTTTTTTTTTTCATTTTTATTTGGAGGTTCACTGATCTTAAAGGTCATGATTTGTATTGGCTGTTTGAATTCTGTAAAGTTCAGTGATTCATTGAAAGTATTGGTTTAGTTTGGTTTCTGCTAAACATACATGGGCTTTTCAGGATTTATAGTCTTTGTAGTGAGCTGTTATTCTTAAATTTTTTTAAAAATTTATTTGTGTGTGTGTGTGTGTGTGTGTGTGTGTGTGGCCAGCTCAGCCCACCAGGAGGCGGGGCTGGCTGGCATGTGGTGCTGTGGGATTGAACTGCAGTCCCTGTGCTTTGCTAAGCTTGTTCTAAGTAGGTGCTTTAGACCACTGAGCCATCTCACCAGCCCCTGAGCTGTTATTCTTAAACATGTATTTGTTGTAAAGCATAGCATGTAGTATACATTTTAATGTGTTTGTTTTTTTTTTTTTTTTTCTCTTTGCAGTGATTATTTATTCAAGTTACTTCTGATTGGCGACTCTGGGGTTGGAAAATCTTGCCTCCTTCTTAGGTTTGCAGTAAGTTGAAATTAAAATGTTTTTATAGTTAATGGTGTAGTTAGTGACATGATTAATGCTATAATGCTGTGTTTTCTAGACATAAAATTAAAGTGTTACTCAGAAAAAATTCTCATAGACATACACATATCCATATCTGTATCTCTATCAAAGCCTCCAAATATATGTTGCCAGTGGTATGTTGGACTGTTAAATGTGTGTGTTATTTTTTGAAACAGTTTGTCACTATGTAGTTCATACTGGTCTTGAACTTGAGCTGTGCTAAGACTGGCCTCATGGTAATTCCTCCTGCCTGCATGAGTGCTGGGATAATAGGTGTATGCCACCACATCTAGCTGGATTGATAAATGTTGCTCTTAAAAGACATTCACCTAGGTGTGTTGGTACTCACGTATAGTCCTGTGGGAGTTCAAGGCCAGCTGGTACTATACAGTGAGGTCCTGTCTCAAAAAACCAAAGAAAAAAAAATTCAGCAAACTCTTGATTATCAGAGCATCTATTGTCTTATTAATTCATTCTGATTAGAGGTGGTGATTAAGGGGGTAATAGTTGGCCTTTGTTGAGTGATATTTTATATTTATATATTTATACATTTATTGGTGGACCGGGGATTGAACTCAGGTCCTTGTGCTTCCAGGGAAGCACTTATTCTACTGAGCCATTTCCCCGGCCCCTTTAAATGTTTTTAAAACATAGTACTATTGGCCCCAGGAGATAGCTCAGTGGTTTAAGTGCCTGCTTGGCTAGTATAAGGTCCTGAGTTCGATCCCTGGTACAAAAAAAAAAAAAAAAAAAAACCAAAAATGAAAAAACTAGTACTGTTTATTCAACTTCAAAAATATTTCAGCATCTGAAACAGAAAAAAATAAGTAGAAAGTTCCAAATGTGTTTAATTACAGGTTTTTGAACTTTCATTGATGCAGTGTCTCTTTGCTAAGAATGAATGAAGAATTCTACAGTTTGTATAAAGACAGATTTCTGGGTGTGGTGGCACACACACCTGTAGTTTTAGCACTTAAGCTAGAAGACTGTTAAGAGTTTGAAGCCAGCCTACTTAAACTACATAGTGGTAAGGCCAGCCTGGACTGTAAAGCAAGATCCTGTTCTAGTGCCCACTCCTCCTCAGCCCCCCCCCAAAAAAAAACACCCCAGTTTAAATCTGTTGCACTTTACATCTCCTTTTTTTGGTGGGTGGGGGTTGGGGTGGGGTAGGGTAGGGTGGCAGGTGAAGGGGGTGGAGGTTCTTTTTGAGACAGGGTCTTATATGCAGTTCAGGCTGGCCTTGAGCTTACTTTGTAGCCCCCCCCTTTTTTTTTCCTTTGGTGGAACCGGGGATTGAACTCAGACCCTTGCGCTTGCCAGGGAAGCGCTTATTCCACTGAGCCATCTCCCCGGCCCCTGTAGCCCTTTTTAATCTAGAACTGGATCCTTTCTTAACCCCCCATGCTGGAGTTATAGATGTGTCCCACCATACCTGACTGCACTTTTCATTTCAATGTTTGTGACAGCAGAACATGATGAAATGTGTTCTCTTCAAATTCTCGTTCCTTGAAATTCCTAGGTAACGAGAATTTCATGCAAAAATTGCAAAATTTTCAATCTTTGGCATAAATAGGTACTAAAAAATTTAAGTACTTATCATGCCAATAAAAAAAATTTTTTTTTTTAACTTTAATTTTTTGAGACAAGGTCTCACCATGTGGTTCAGCCTGGCCTCAAGCTCAGGGCAGTCTTTTTGCCTTAGCTTCTGAGTGTTGGAACTAAAGGCATGTGCCACCACACCTGGCTCGATAAAGAAATCTGTGTGTGTGTGTGTGTGTGTGTGTGTGTGTGTGTGTGTGTGTGTTTTGAGACAGGGTCTTGAGGCTGTCCTTGAGCTCACTCTGTAGCCCAGACTAATCTGGAACTTGTAACAATCTTCCTGTTTTAGTCTCAGAGTGCTCAGTGCTGGGATTACAGGTGTGTGCAACCACGCCCAGCTAGATAGAGATATCTTAAACCTTCAGGATAGTTTTTGTTTTATTTTTATTTATTTTTAAATTTTTTTTAGGATAGTTTTTAGTAAGGAGAAAAGATGGTGGGATTTGGCCCAGACTTTTTGGACAATGGCATTGTGTTGTGTATGTTGAAACTGATAAGTAATTTTGGCATAGTAGAATCTAGGTTTCCTTCATAGTTTTTATTATCTGCTTTCACATTTAGCATATTTTCCTTTTGGTAGATTATTGATTCTCAGCATGGACCAAAGCTTCTTGGGGATGCTAAGACGCTCACAGGGAGTCTTTTAGCTCAGAAGTATTTTACCATCATCATCACCATCATCTTAACATATTAGTGTTTAAAAGTAAATACTGGGGCCAGGGAGAATAAAATAGCTGAGTAGAATAAGTGCTTGCCTGGCAAGTGCAAAGTCCTGAGTTCAATCCCTAGGACTGCATAAATAAATAAATACATACATACATACATACATACTGCAGAGTACAGGGTCTCCCCAAGCTGAGCATCCACTGCCACTCACACCCCAGTCCAAAAATAAATATTTAATTAGTAATACTAAGACAAAAGACATTTGCCTTTTCACTGTTACTTGCTCTGATGGTTCAAAAACAGTGCTACTAGTGCCATAGTACATGTTAAGACAGCATTAGATTATTACTTTGGCATTACTACTCACATGTGGACCAAAAAGCAATTTTATCCGCTCATGGGGGCATGTGTAGTCCTAGCATTCTGGGTGTCTTGAAACAGGAGGATCACAAGGTTGAATCCAGCCCATACAATTTAGTGACCTAATAAGATTCCACCTCAGAGAAACTTGGGGATATAGCTTAGTGTTAAAGTTTGAGTTCATTCCCCATTACTGCCAAAAAACAATGTCCTTGACAGTGAATATTATTGAAAAAATTTGATCCTGAATATATAAAAATATCTTGTGGGAAGAAACGGGATGTGTACATAAAGCAGGAGGTAGAAATAAAGCACTTTGGCTGCCTACCTGGAGTGTGTTGGTTATCTTAGAAAACTTCGAATTGGGAGCTGAACTAGCTCCCTTCCCCATTTAACCTCTCCCTCCCTTGTTTTTGAGAAGGGGCTTGTTTTGTGCCTAGGCTAGTCTTGAGTTTGTGATTTTCCTGCCTAAATTCCCACAGTGCTGGGATTGTAGACATGCACAACCATGCCTGGCTAGCTCTAGCTACTTGAAACTCTTGAACCAGTTTTCTTTAGAGATTCTTTTAATCTTACAAATTAGATTTAGCATTATGAAGACTCGCCTATGTGAGTTTTATATAGCTGCTTTTTATTCTCTTTGCTGGTGTTGTAATATAGATGTAAAACTTGTCTTTTTTTTTTTTTTTTACATCAGTATGCATTTGTAAAAACATTTTCCTATAAAATGAATATGTCCTGTAAAATTGTAGACAATTTTATAGGCCATTGTTAGCCTACAAAATAATGTGCAAAAATGCTGTAGGCAAAAAAGTAGTTGACTAACAGGTACAAGACCCTGGGTTGTATGTCTTATACTGCCAGAAAGAAAAAGCTATATTGCTTAGATTAGAATTCAGAAATGGGTCCACACGTTTTATTTTTTTAAAATTTTATTTATTATTTGTGTGTGTGTGTGTGTGTGTGTGTGTGTGGCCAGCTCAGCCCACCAGGGGGTGGGGCTGGCTGGCATGTGGTACTGGGGGATTGAACCGCGGATCCTGTGCTTTGCTAAGCTTGTTCTAAGTAGGTGCTTTAGACCACTGAGCCATCTCACCAGCCCCAAGGGTCCACACATTTTAGAAGAGTTTTGTTTTTGTTTTTTTTTTCTGGCTCAGGATGCCTTCAGGGCAGCTCTTGTAAGGCTTGAGGATCTGCGAATAGAACCACAGCATCCTGATTGCTTTGTTTAAGCAGTCACTTAAACATCTGAGCTAGGGCTGGGGAGATACCTCAGTAGAATAGGTCCAGAGTTCAATCCTTGGTACCACAAAAAAAAAAAAAATAATAATAATAATAAATTTTAAAAATCTGAGCTAATGGGCTGGCCCCCAGTCCACCCATTTTATGTGGTGGTTTTGCTTTTCTCTTTTTTGGCACTAGGGAGATTTAGAAGTGCTAAGCTATATACATGCCCATCCACCCCCACCCCCCTTTAATTTTTAAGATCTTTTAATGTTTTTATTGGTACAGGGTCTTGTACATTTGGACTTGTAGTGATCCTTCTTTCTCAGCCTTTTTTGTGGTACTGGTGATTGAACTCAGGACCCTGCATTTGCCAGGCCAGTGCTTATTCTACTGAGCTATCTCCCCAGCCCAACCACAGCCTTTTTTTTTTTTTTTTTTTTTTTTTTGGTGGAACCGGGGATTGAACTCAGGCCCTTGTGCTTGCCAGGGAAGCGCTTATTGCACTGAGCCATCTCCCCAGCCTACAGCCTTTTTAAAGGAGCTTTTCACTAAGTTGTTGAGGCTGTCCTTGATTTCCCAAGTCAGCTCTGCTTCTGCCAGTAGCTGGGATTACAAGTGTGCCTACCACACTTTACTTGCTTATTAGTGTTTTTTCTTTAACACTTCGCTATTTTTGTTTTTATGTTACTGACTTTACAGAAACAGAGGCAATTAGTTCTGTATATTGTCTAATAGCTACAATTGTCATTTCTGCTTTTTTGTGTCTATTCCTTTGTCCCTTTTTCTGTTGCAGGAAGTCCTAGAACTGTGGTACCCATAGAGTGGCTACTTGATGTTCTCTTGCCTGCCCTCACTCCTTCCCCTTCATGTTTTTTTCTTTCTTTCTTTCTTTTTTTTTTTTTTTTGGTGGAACCGGGGCTTGAACTCAGGCCTTTGCACTTGCCAGGGAAGTGCTTATTCCACTGAGCCATCTCCCTGGCCCCGCTTTTTTCTTTTTTTTTTTAGACAAGGTCTTACTCTAGTGTAGCCTGACCTTGAACTCACTATGTTAGCCTAGGTTGTCCTTGAATTTACGGTGGTCCTCCTGCCTCAGCCTCCTGAGTGGCTGGGATTATAGGCATGTGCCACCGTGTCAGGTGGCCATTTACATTTATTTTATTTTTCTTTATTTTTAGGGAAGGGTGTTCAGGGTCTCACTATTAGATTAGACTTGTAGTGATCCACCTGTTTATAGCCTCCCAAGAGCTGGGATTACAGGTGCGTGCCACCACGCCCAATCTCAGTTGCCCTCTCAGTGCCTGGGGCTGGCACGGCAGGCCCAAGGATCGAACTCCTGGCCCCTGGGCCTGCTTGCAGATGTTTTAATCTGCTGAGCTATTTGGCCGGCCCTACATATAAATTAATTGAAATTCAAAAAATTAAATTTCAGTTCGTTTCATAGGCCACATAGGGCTAGTGGACACCATATTGATTAGCAGTGTTATAGAACCTTTCCATTGTCACAGAAAGTTAAGTTTGACAGTATTATTTTTTATTAGATTAAGACTTGATTAGATTTAGCTCTGTTTTTATTGGCAGAATACTTTCTAGCTGGTGCTTTGTTCTTTAAGATGATTAGCTTGGTCAATCTAATCCCAGAAGTTTTCACAAGATTTTCACTTTATAAAAGCAGTTTTGGCTAGGCATAGTGGCACCTGCCTGTAATAATAACACTGCAGGAGACTGAGACAGGAAGATTGCCATGAGTTTAGTTATGCCACTGTGGTCTGCATAGTGAGTTCAAGGCCAGCCTGAAATATAAATACCCTCAAAAACAGAACAGCAAAAAAAGAAGAGTTTTGGGGCCGGGGAGATGGCTCAGTGGAATAAGCGCTTTCTTGGCAAGCACAGGGGCCTGAGTTCAATCCCCGGTTCTGCCAAAAAAAAAGAGTTTTGTTTTCTTTCTTTCTAGAACAGGTGTAATTTTAATACATTCATGACATGGCCATACTTCACGACTCACTGCCAGGTACCTGTGAACCTCAAGTGATATTTCAATGACTGCCACCTTGGGCAGCATGGGACACTCCCATTGGGTTGTGCATGTAGCCTGATGTAGTCATGTAGTCAGGCATGTACCCCACTGGTTCTTCAAGCTGGTGACAACATATTAGCAGTGTAGCATTTATGGGCCAGAGAGATGGCTCAGTAGAATAAGCTCTTCCCTGGCAAGCGCAAGGGCCTGAGTTCAATCCCCAGTTCTGCAAAAAAAAAAAAAAGTGTAACATTCAGTTAAAAAATTGACAAGAAACATGTTAACACCAAAATTTCTGCACATATTTTCACAAAAGCAGTATTCATAATAACCCAAAAGCTGATGCAACCGAATGTCTTATCAACTGTTGCATAGTTTTTAAAAATGTATGTGGCTGGGCTTGGTGACACTTGAGAGACCTGGATAGGAGGAGCAGTATGAGTTTGAGGCCAGCATGAACTGCATATTGAGACTTTGTCTCAAAAAAGAAAAAGTTGGGCCGGGGAGATGGCTCAGTAGAATAAGCTCTTCCCTGGCAAGTGCAAGGGCCTGAGTTCAATCCCTGGTTCAACCAGAAAAAGAAAAAAAAAAGAAAAAGTTACTTAGTGATTGATTACCAGGTTGGGAAAGGGAAACAGAGAGGAGTTGCTAAGTTTATTGTTGTGGTTTGTTTTGTTTTGTGGTACGGGGTATCAAACTTAGGCCCTTAGGGCTGGCCAAGTAGCTCAGCAGATTGAAGTGCCTACAAGAAAGTAGGGACCTGGTTCAATCCCTGGACCTGACACGCCAGCCCTGCTCCCAGGGCTCTCTGAGAGGGCAGTTGAGACTGGGCGTGGTGGCACACGGCTGTAATCCCAGCTCTTGGGAGACTGTAAACAGGTGGATCACTTCGAGTCTGATCTATTAGTGAGACCCTCAATACCCTGTAGACCTTTCTCTAAAATACAAAAAACAGACAAACAAATAAACAACAATTTAGGACCTGGTGTTTGCCAGGCAGGCACTTGTACTACTGAGCTGTATCCCTGGCACAGGAGTTGCTGAGTTTAAGTGCAATGGTACCTCAACAATTCGGTTCACAAAAAGAAACCTTTGGCAGAATTTTGTTTTTGTTTGCAAACTCTGCATTGGGTTATTGTCTTTCCCACACAAACACAAATATGGCTGTGTTTTCCAAAATCACAGAACATAAGTTTATGAACTGAGATAGGCCCCACTGTATAAGGTTCCTTTGGGGGTGACCTTTTGGGGTGATGTAGTATTATGGAATGGCTAAGAGAGTTGCACAACCTTGTGCATGTACTAAAATCAGTGGGTTGCATACCTCAAAATGGTGGCTGTAGCCTGTGTGAGGCCAGGGCTTCATTCACCATTAGTAAGGGGGAGGCTGAAGAAGTATTTAAAAGGATGAATTTGTTTTCTTCAGTATTGGAGATTGACTCCTGAGCCTTCACACTGAGTTACATCTTTCCTTTCCCTTTCCCTTTCCCTTTCCCTTTCCCTTTCCCTTTCCCTTTCCCTTTCCCTTTCCCTTTCCCTCTCCCTCTCCCTCCCTCCCTCTAGTTTTATTTTGAGACACAGGATCTTGCTAACTTGCCCAGCATTGACATGAATATGCATTAGCCTCCTAGAATTCAGGCAGTCACAGCATATGTCACCATGCCCAGTTAGAAGGCTGAATCTTGTGTGCATTGTATCTGAAGTTAAGAAACTGATAACTATGACAAGCAAGGCACTGTGCCGCTGGGCTATATCCCTGGCTCTGACTTTTTGAAAAAATGTCCACAAAGAGCCGGGAATATAGCTCAATGGCACAAGTGCCTACCTGGCAAGCACAGGGTTCTGAGTGTGATTCTCGGTACCAAAATAAAAAGTGTCTATAAGAGGAGAGTATAAACTGGATGTGGTGATACACACCTATAATCCCAGCACTTGGACACTGAGGCAGAAAAATTCTTTAAGATCAGCCTGGGCTACAAAATGAGCTCAAGGCCAGCCTGAACTGCATAGTGAGACAGGGAGGCGGGGAGTATAATCGTCATTGTGGTGAATAATTTGGGTAGGTGGGTAGTAGTTAAGTTTACTGTTTAGCAATTAGAAAAATGTCATTAATGCTACACACATACATCTGTAGCCCTGGTAACTGGAGAGTGATAGGACGGTCACTTGAACCCAGGAAATTGGGAGCAGTTTGGACAAGAGATTCCATCTCAAAAATAAATAAAATCATTGTAATCACTGAAATGTTAAAAATCTTTTTTTCTGTGTGATATGTAAAAGAAAGTGCCAAAAGAGTGGGCATGGAAGTACATGGCCTACAGTCCCAATACTTGATTTGGTTGAATCAGGAGGATAGAGTTCTAGATGAGCCTCAGGGGGATTCAAGGCAAGCCTAGACCAATAAGGCACTATCTGAAATTTTAGAAAAATGTAAAACAAATCTTAATGAAAAAAGAAACTTTAGCTAGTCAGCATTTTGTAGTCAGAACATAAATACTGGAATAGGATTGAATGGCTTTAAAGTGTTTTGTTTTGTTTTTGTTTTTTTTTTTTTTAAAGAAACTATACATAAAAGTAGATGATAATTACCCGTTGAACTTTTTTGAACATTGATTTTAATTTTCAATTTTACCTTACAGGATGATACATATACAGAAAGCTACATCAGCACAATTGGTGTGGATTTCAAAATAAGAACTATAGAGTTAGATGGGAAAACAATCAAGCTACAAATTGTAAGTGAATTTTATTTGGAAATCTTCTGATGTATTCATATATATGTAATATGCTAACAAAAATCGAATGTAAAGGTTCTTAAGAATCAGGGCCAAAAAGAAAAATAGAATTGGGGCCAAATAGCTCAGCGGATTAAAGTGCCTGAAAGCAGGCCCAGGGGCCAGGGTTCAATCCCTGGGTCCCCAGGCCTGTGTTGCCAACCCCCGGAATGTGCTGAGAGGACAGTTGATACTGACACATGCCTGTAATCCCAGCTTTTGGGAGGCTGTAGACAGGCAGATCACTACCAGTCTGATTTAGTAGTGAGACCCTTCCCTGAAAAAAAAAAAAAAAAAAAAAAAAAAGAAAGAAAAGAAAAAAAATCAGGTATCTGCCTGTAATCTCAGTGCTTAGGAGGCTGAGGTAGGAAGACTGCCCCAAGTTCAAGGATAGCCTAAACTGTCTAAGGGCAGCCTGAACTACGTAGTAATACCCTGTCTCAAAAAAAAAAAAAAAAAAAATCAGGCATCTATGATGGAATAGTAGAATTACTGCTGTTTAGACTGAAAGTAATTTCCCAGGGTCACCTTTTTCATTGAAAGTGTCATCTCCCACCCCATTAGATTGTGCTAGGGATTGAACCCAGGACCTCTTATGTTAAGCATGCACTCAACTTAAACTGTACCTCATTGAAATTTCTTCTTAAAGCAGACAATTCATGTTTTTTTTTTTTTTTTTTGGTGGAACCAGGGATTGAACTCAGGCCCTTGTGTTTGCCAGGGAAGCGCTTATCCCACTGAGCCATCTCCCTGGCCCACAATTCATGTTTTAAATCAAACTTAGTCCTAGTTTATTTCTTTTATTTATTTATTTATTTATTTACATTTTGCTCTTTATTTTTTTTTTTCTTTTCAAAGTTTTATTGATAAACATATAGCAATGAGACTATTTCTTTTTTTAATAGTAGTTCTCTGAGTTTAAATTTCTCTTTTTTTGGTACCAGGGACCAAACTTGGAACCTTGCACCTACCAGGCAGATGCTTATTGCCACTGAGCTGTATCCCCAGCCCTTAAGTTTGTCTTAAAGTGTTAACTAAGCATTTTCTTTTACTGTGGTGATTGCTGTGGAACATAAGTAACTGAAGAGAGGCTCTTTGTATGTGGCTTAGCTGAAATGTAGGAAGTCCTCTTGGTACTTATCTCAGTCCAAGAAAGAAGTCTATATTTGTAATCCCAAAAATATGTTATTGGAATCCCACCAAGTTAGTTCCAGTCTACCACTCCCAGTACAAAGCAGTGAAAATAAACACACTAAAGCATATTTATAATTATGGGGAGCCTTTGGCTCCCCATAATTAAATCTAGCCACAAAGATGACTTTCTGGAAGAAAAAGTGTCTACCCAGGGCTGAACCCGGGTTTTATTCAGTCGTGAAGGAGGAGTGGCTTGAGGGTGAATGACTTGAGATTTGCGGGAAGTAGGTGAGTACTGTGAGCTGAGCTAGGCAGGTGACCAGCATCTACCTGTCATATGAAGAGAGAAGGATATGCAGAAAATATAATTTGCATTAAATTATGGAGATAGTATCTAATGTTTTGGGGTCCTGTGCTTCTGCTCTGTGTAATCTTTCAAGCCCTAGGAAATCATAGCCTCTGTCTCAAGGAGGCTTGACCCTGGCTGACAACAGCATGGAGCATTGGCTGTTTGTCCTGTCTCAACTCAGGTCACATCAAAGAGTAGCAGGTGTGGGTTATCAGAGGCACACATACCATCTTCAGAGACTACCACCATCACCTTGGCTAGACCAATATGCATTGCTTATGGCCAATTGAAGGGATAAAGAGAAGTCCTAGCCAGCTCTGTACATATCAATACAAGGAAATAGGGTCAGGCTCAGCCAAAATGGAAATGATCTCTCTTCTTTCAAGGTGGTACTCCACAGAAGAAGACACATATTTATTTGGGTCTTTTAACATTTGTTTTAGGTACTACTTAACAAATCTTTAAAGACAGAATTTGGTTGGGAGGAAACTTACATTTTTTTCTTTTTTAAAGTGATAGATTCTCACACCATGTAGTCAGATTGGCCTTGACCTCACTATGTAATCTGTTGAACTCAAGGTGATTCTCCTGTCTCAGCCTCCTGAGTGCTGATATTACATGTAGGCACCACCATGCCTGATAGGCATACCTTTTTTTTTTTTTTTTTACTAAAAGGCGAAAGATTTATATGACCTAAAGAGAAACCAGAGTATAAGCATACCATTTTTAATATAGTCATTTTACTCTGAGAAATAGGGATTTGTTTTTTTTTTTTTTTTTTGCGGAACTGGGGGCTGAACTCAGGCCCTTGTGCTTGCCAGGGAAGCACTTAATCCACTGAGCCATCTCCCCAGCCTAGAAATAGGGATTTGGTTAAGTTACTGGTAGAATCAAGTCATCCAGGTGTTGTGTTCCTACCCCTTTATCCATTCTCATGTCCCCAATGCCTAATCAAATATTGGCAATTGCAATAGTTTTGTCTCTTTAATGTGACTGTAAGTACTGCCAGTGTGGTCATATCTATGTAAAAAAATACCAGCTGGGCATGATGGCACATGCCTATAATTCCTGCTGTGTGGGAGACTTAAGGCAGAAAGATGCCAGGTCTGAGCACAACCTGGGCAATTTGGTAAAAATCTATCCCAGAAATAAAGTAAAAAAATCTAGAGCATGATAGTGTATTCTTATAATCTTAGCACTTGGGATGCTGAGGCAAGAGGATCACCATGATTTCAAGAGCAGCCTGAACTACATTGTGAGAACTTGACTCAGTCCCTAAAACCAAAAAAAGAGGCCGGGGGAGGGTGACAGGATTATGATGAGTTAGTGCCAGCCTGAGTGTTGTAGTTGAGACTGTGGAAA